GTAGAGTGCTAGCCTTGAGCTGAAGAGCTGAGGGACAGCACCCAGGCCCAGAGTTCAGGCCCCACGACTGGGAAAAAAAAAAAAAAAAATGAACTGTGATCCTCAGATCTCAGCCTCCTGAGTAGCTAGGATTACAGGTGTGAGCCACCAGCACCCTGCACAATGTAGCTTCTTATTGCCCATCACTAGTGGCTTCAAATTCAGGAATAACAGCTGCCAGAAAGACCCCTTCTTCTATGTGGAGTGTTGTGAGGATCTGGCCTGTAGCCATTGGCCTGGAAGCACCTTAGCCATATTCTCAGTTGCTGTCCTGGTAATTGAGCACATGAGTAGACACTGCCCTCTTGAGGCTGGTGCCTCTCATGACACCTGGGAGAGCCCATGTAGTATTGGAGAAGTGGATCCCAGTGATGCTTTTCTTCCCAGACCCTCCTTTGGTACTTAAAATTGTTTTCATCTACACCAAATAACCAAGTAGACAAGGCCTGCAAATCACATTCTCAGTCATTCTCCAACCAGACTAAATTCCTCTCGGTCTTAGGCAAAGTTCTCTGTCTCTGGGCCTTTACACATGCTGATTCCCCACTTGAATAATTCTCTCACATTTTAACCTGCCTGATTCTACTACACAGGCATCAATATTTCTTTCTTCCCCAGATCTGACAGTGTCTCAGATTGCTCAGATATTGCTCAAACATGCTTCTCTGACATTCTTTGTGTGTCTGTGTGTATGCTAATCCTGGGGCTTGAACTCAGGGCCTGGGCACTATCCCTATGGTTTTGAGCTCAAGGCTGGAAATTTATCACTTGAACCACAGCTCCACTTCTGGCTTTTCTGGTGGTTAACTGGAGATAAGAATATCAGGAAATTTTTTGCCCAGACTCACTTTGAACAGTGATCCTCAGATCTCAGCCTCCTGAGTAGCTAGGATTACAGGTGTGAGCCACTGGCACCCAGCCCCATGACAGTCTACCAACCTGTATTGTTTATTGCTTCCTAGCTCCTATTGGCAGGCTGGCACTGTGTGGCAGAGATATAGAGATCATAGGTCTTAGCATCTGATGCTCAGACACTTCTTTTTCTACAGGCCCAATCTCCACACAGAGGGAGTGAGGCTTCTTCTGTGGTCATCTATTCTGAAGCCTGACCACCTGCCTGCTCTCCTTCAAGGTAGAAACATGTGGCTTAGCTGGGCTCCGGTGGCTTACACCTGTAATCCTAGCTACTCAGGAGGCTGAGATCTGAGGATCACAGTTCAAAGCCAGTCCAGGAAGGAAAGCCCATGACACTCTTATCTCCAATAAACCACTAGGAAACTAGAAGTGGCGCTGTGGCTCAAGCGGTAGAGCATTCACCTTGAACTGAAGAGTGCAGGGACAGCAACCAGGCCTAGAGTTCAAGCCCCATGACTGACTAAAAAAAAACAAAAAACAAAAAAACAAAAAGATGTGGCTTAGGTCACTGAGAGGGCACTGAGGCCTTAGGTGAGGTGGCATTAAAACCTTGAATCTTAGAAGTATATCTCAGCTCTGATTCTATCTCATCTCATCACCAGCTCTTATCCAAGACTGAAGTGCACAGGTCCAGGACCACCACATGAATGAATACTGAATGTATGAGTTGTGATTTGACATGAATCTGACAAAGTCTTGCTCTTTGAATATACTCAGTGTACCCAGTCTGCTAGGAGAGTCCAGTGTGAGCAGGTGGGATTGGAAGTTAGATGGTTCTGGCTCTGCCAACAGATTCACTGAGACTTTGACAGGTTGCTTCCTCTCCTCCACCCCTCCCTCTCAAGATCTAAGTCCAGGACTCATACTCAGTACCTGCTGATTTTACTCATTGGCTAGTGCTCTACCAACTGAGCCAAGCCTCCAACCTTGCTCCCCCTCTTTTGAGTCTTAAGTTTCATCATATGTAAAATGTGCACAGTAAAAACCTTTTTGGTTTGTGGGAATACCGGTTGACACTCTATTGTATAACATTAATAAATGGCAGCTGGGCAGTGGTGGCTCTAGCTACTCAGAAGGCTGAGATATGAGAATTGCAGTTCGAAGCCAGCCCAGGCAGGAAACACTCTTATCTACAATTAACCACTCAAAAACTAGAAGTGGTACTGTGGCTCAACTGGTAGAATGTTAGTCTTGAGCACAGAGAGGCTTATAGGCAGCATCTAGGCCCTGAGTTCAAACCCCACAACAGACCATAAAAAAAAAAAAAGGAAAGAAATGGCATATCTAGGTTTGGAATGTGGATTAGTGGTAGAGTTTGATTCCTCAGTATCACATAAGAAAATAAAAAATTAGGAAAAAAAAAAAGCCAGGCACTGGAGCTTAAATCTGTAATTCTAGCTACTAAGGAGGCTGAGATCTGAGGATCAAGATTCAGCTTGAAGCCAGTCCAGGCAGAAAAGTCCATGAGACTATTATCTCACTGTCTATGGCTTAAGTTTTCTTGTTTTTGTGTCTGTCATGGGGCTTGAACTCTGGGCTTGGGTGCTGTCTCTATGCTCTTCAGCTTAAGGTGAGCGCTCTACCACTTGAGCCACAGTGCCACTTCCGGTTTTCTAGTAGTTTATTGGAGATAAGAGTCTCACCAACTTTCCTGCCCGGGCTGGCTTTGAACCTCCATCCTCAGATCTCAGCCTCCTGAGTAGCTAGGATTACAGGCATCAGCCACCGGTGTCTGGCTCTATGGCTTAAGTTTTAGAGCACTAGCCTTGAGCACAAAGAGGCTCAGGGACAATTCCTAGGCCCTGAGTTTAAGCCCAAGAACCAGAAAGAAAAAAAAAAGAAAGAAAAGAAAAGAAAGAAAAGAAATGGCACAGCAGGCACCATGGCTCATGACTGTAATCCTAGCTACTCAGGAGGCTGAGATCCGAGGATTGAGTTTTACAGTTTGATGCCAGTCCAGGCAGGCAAGTCTGTGAGTCTCTTATCTTCAATTAACTACCAAAAAACTGCAAGTGGAGCTGTGGCAAGTGGCTGTTAGCCTTAACTGAAAAAGCTATGGGACATTACCCAGGCCCTGTGTTTAAGCCCAAACAAAATTACATATGGTAAAACTGCTAATTCAATATATAGTTCTGAGACTAACACATTGTAGATTCTTGTTATGACACAATAATTGTACCAAATTCTTTGTGTTATATTCATGTTATGTTTTATTTTTGTTTATGTGGTACCAAGGAATTGAACCCAGGGCTTCATGTACATGAGGCAAGCATTTTACCAGTAAGCCACATTCCTAGCCCTTACCTTTTCCCTACACGGTCCATAGACATGGTGGTCATTGATTGCTGAAAGTATTTTGTTTGTTTTTTGTTTCTGTGCAACTCCAGGGCCTGGGTGCTATCTCTAAACTTTTGTGCTCCAGGCTAGTGTGCAAGCATTATCTTGATCAATCACCCCAGTAGACAGGTCTTTGCTTGTGTTTATTATAGCTAGGCTTTGACTATCCTTCAATGCCTCTGTCCTTTTGTGTTTTTCAAATACGATCTGGTACTTTTGCCCAGGGTGGCCTTGGACAGTGATCCTACAGCATCCAGAGCAAGTGGGATTATATAAGCATACCACCCTATCAAACTTGAGATAGGGTCTTGCTAGCTTTTTGCTTGGGCTAGGCTGGAACCACTATCCTCCTCAATCTCTGCGTCCCAATTGGCTAGAATTACACGGTGAGCCTCTGGGCAAGGCTGTCTTTTATCTTGATTACATGCCCAATTTCTTTCATGAGATCAATCTTTTCCAAACCTTTTACAGGTTTCTCAGATCCTTTATGATACTTTTCAATTTTTCCCTATATTGCCTTCTTCACATTCTAGAATAATCAAGCCAATCTCATTTAGGACAATTTTTTTTTGGGTCCGGTCGTGGGGCCTGAACTCTGGGCCTGGGCGCTGTCCCTAAGCTCTTCAGCTCAAGGCTAGGGCTCTACCACTTGAGCCACAGTGCCACTTCCGGCTTTTTTCTTTTTGCTCATGTGGTGCTGAGGAATGGAACCCAGGGCCTCATGCATGCAAGGCAAGTGCTCTACCATTAAGTCACCTTCCCAGCCCATCATTTAGGACAATTAAAAAAAAAATTTTTACAATACAGAAAAAAATATTTTGGCTGGGCGCTGGTGGCTCACGCCTGTAATCCTAGCTACTCAGCAGGCTGAGATGTGAGGATCAGGGTTTAAAGGCAGCCAGGGAAGGAAAATCCATGAGACTCCATGAGTTCAAGCTCCAGGACTGACAAAAAGGGGGGAAAAAAAGTTTTGCTATATGTTCAATCACTTGTCTGCCCTCATGTAAATTGTCAGCCCAAATTTGATAAAACTAGGTTTACTATTTTATTTTTTTGTCAATTATGGGGCTTGAACTCTGGGCATGGGTGCTGTCCCTGCACTCTTAAGCTCAAGGTGAGTGCTCTACCACTTGAGCCACAGAGTCATTTCAGGTTTTCTAGTGGTTTATTGGAGAGTCTCACAGACTTTCCTGCCCGAGCTGGCTTTGAACTGAGATTCTTAGATCTCAGCCTCCTGAGTAGCTAGAATTATAGGTGTGAGCCACCAGCACCCGGCAGATTTACTAATTTTTTTTTTTTTTCAAACAAGTTGTTTTCTCTTTATCTTGGTAAAAATCTCAAGAAGATAGCAAGGAGAAAAATCACATTTCTGAGGAAAAGCTCTATTACTAGATTACAGCTCTGTTCATTTTTCTAGGCTTTTATCACCTACATGTAGACTGAACAAAATCCAAATTCTTCTAGTTCCCTGTAATATTTATAACTGAGAACAAAAACTTCTCTCAACTGGGGCATGATGCAAGTGATAAGAGCATCTGCCTGAATCTCGGAGTTCAAACTCCAGTACTGTCAAAAAATAAGAAAGAACAATATAATGGATTTAAGGCATTTAGCACAGTGCCTGGTATGTGTAAGGCTGTTCTGGTCAGATACAGGCAGTTTCCCAAGTATGACTGGGGCTATAAAAAGAGAGGGAGTAAGAATAGAGATTCATACCAAGATTGCACATGTTTATTAGGAAATGTTATGTAAGGAACAGTCTAAACCCATCCCAGACAGACAAATTCAAGAGTCTTCTCTCTTATTATCCAGCAAAAAGCCTGAACTGGAGGCATGGCTCAAATGGAAGAGTGCCTTTCATGAGTGAAAAATCCAAGTGGGAGCACGAGGACTCAAGTTCAAACCTCACCAAAAATATTTTAAAAATGGAAAAAATGAAGGCACATGTCCAGAAACAAGAAGCGCTGGGACCCTTCAGAAACCCTGGAATTGGCACTATCCACCACTCAGAGGTTCATCCAAGTTAGTACAGAATCTAGCATTTTCTCTGGATAATTTGCATGTGAAGTGGATGGGCTCTGACTGCTTTTCCTGTGCACATCTGCTGTCCCAGTAGGCTGAAGACAAGAGGCTGGACGCAACTACTCAGTCACTCATGTCCAGATCAAATTCTGGATACAACTCTTTAGTTGTGACACCTCGGATAACAGCTGAAAGGAAGGACAGATAGAGATTGTCCATTTGGGGAAGAGAGGGTGTATGGGCCAAAACCCTGAACCAGCACTGCTGTCTAACCCCCGAGGACGAACCCTTCTGGCTTTTAGTCAGTGCCTACACTTACATCTCACCCAGCTGGCAAAGGTGCTCACCTTGCTTCTCCTTCCTGGCCTCTCCCTGTAAGCCTTGGCCCTGTCCGCTCTATACCCAGCAGCCTGCATTCCTGCATGGACCAGATACGGATGCTCAGCATTTGGTCTAGGAGCATTTGACTCTTCCTGAACTTTCACCCATTCTGCAGAATGAGAAGCAGTTCCCTTAGAATCCTTTGCCACAGAGCAGCAAGGTATTTCTTGAACTATAAACTGTCTCCACACCAGATGCCCAAGTGCTCAGCATGGGCCAGGAGCCAGCCTTGACTGTCTACAGCCTGTGTGACACTTCCTCCTGTAGCTCTCTCTCAAGGGCTTGTCTTGTTTTCCTCAACTGTCTGTCCTTAGAGGCCTCCTTGTGCAACTTATTTTGGTCTCACTTGCTACCTTCTTCAGATCAGCACCCTTCCCATTTCTGTCCTTTACTTCCTTCAGGACACTTACATATTATACAATTTACTGCATTCATCTACTCCTTGACCATTCTGTCTACCCCGAACTCCAAAACCTAAGCCACATGAGAAAAGACCTTCAAGTGTCTATTTTACCAGCATCCCCAGCACCCTGTAGAGTGCCAAGTACAGAGTAGAAGCCCAATTAACTACTCACTAAATAAAAATGGAATAGGCCACCAGCTCCATCTCTTAGGACATGGGGGGGGGGGAGGGGGAGAAAGAATGCTCGGGGCTGGGAAGGTGGCTCAGTGGTAGAGCGCTTGTCTTGCATGTATGAGGCTCTGGGTTCGATTCCTCAGCACCACATAAGCAGAAAAAGCCAGAAGTGGTGCTATGGCCCAAGTGGTAGAGTGCTAGCCTTGGGCTGAAAAGCTGAGGGACAGCGGCCCAGGCCCAGAGTTCAGGCCCTATGACTGACAAAAAAAAACAAAAACAAACAAACCAAACCAAACAACAACAACAAAAAAATCCAACAAATGCTCCTAACAGCCAGATGCCAGTAGCTCACACCTGTTAACCTAGCTATTGAATCTCAGTTCAAAGCCAGCTCAGGTAGGAAAATCTGGGAGATCCTTTTTTTTTTTTGGTCAGTTGTGGGGCTTGAACTCTGGGCCTGGGTGCTGACCCTGACTCTTCAGATCAAGGCAAGTGCTCTACCACTTGAGCCACAGCACCACTTCCAGTTTTCTGGTGGTTAACTGGAGATGAGTCTCACAAATTTTCCCGCCCAAGCTGGCTTTGAACCATGATCCTCAGATCTCAGCCACCTTAGCAGTTAGGATTACAGGCGTGAGCCACCAGCGCCTGGCTGGGAGATTCTTATCTCCAATTAAACACCAAAAAGCCATAAGTAATGCTGTGGCTCAAGTGGTAGAGTGCTAGTCTTGAACATAAAAGCTATGCTCAGAGATAGCATCCAGGCATGAGTTCAGGACTAGCACCCAAAAAAAAGGAAAAAGAAAAAGAATGCTCTTAACATTAGGCTGGGTTCTATCATACCCCAGAGCCCCAAGTCATTCCCTTTACTAATCTACATTTCCCTCTTGCTTTCTCTTTTCCTCCTCTGGGATTCATTTTCCAATGAAACAGAGAAACACAAGAGTCCTTTCTGCCCTGGAATATTAGATTGCTCTGTGCTAGGGATGCTGATGGAGACAGATTTCAGCAACAGGTGTTAAGACTAATGCAGCTCTGGCTACTGTGCCATTTTACCATTGGACATAATGCTCACAAATTAGAGCCAGATAGAGGAACTGGAGTGCTTGTTTAAAGCCATCTACACATTGCCTTACCTCCTAGCTGGCCTTACTTCCAAGGAAAGCTTCCCTGATTTATGGGTATCTGCCTTGGCTAGAGCCCCCTGGCTAGTAAGACTGAGCTGAAGGGGGAACAGAACACCCCTTTAATTCACCAAGGTATTTGCTAGCTCTTGAGTAAGTTAGCCACTTGAGGCACAGAAGATATTTCAATCATTCTGAGGGCTCTAGAAAACCAGGGCCTCTCAATCCTCAGACTTACAGATGGGGCAGCCCTGCTGAAACTTGCTCCAAGGCAGGCCCTGTCATTGGGGTGAAAAATCCCAGAATTAAGGAAGGAGCCCCAAAGTGGTCTTGCTAGGTGGCCAGTTGGAAGAAAGGCTGGTGGGAGGGGCTAGAGCATTCTAGGAGTTGGGCAGCTGAGAAGGGTGGGAGATATGGCAAGTTGGAAGGCCTAGGAACAAAATCCAACACCCTTAGGGGAGGGGAAAGTCCTGCTCACCCAGCTTGCCCAGCAGTATCTGTCCTACATCCTTGATGTCATTATACTCATGGAGCTGGGAGATGTGGTCATCCAGTTCATCCACACTGTAGCCCCTGGGATGAGGGAGGAAGGGACAGAACTGTTAGGAGAGCTGATGAGGATCCCTGACTTCAGGGGATACGGGGCTGTGTTTAGCCAAAGTTCTCCTCATACCTACAAGGTGCTAGAGGTTTAGTGCTGGTGGAGCAGACATCACCCTCCTGAGGCTAACAGTACAACAAGGGATCTGCCCAGCCCCTCCCTCCTAGCAAACATGTCTGTACACTGAGGGAAGGGCCTTTAGCCACATTAGTGCTATGAGACTCTGGCCACAGCTGAGGGACTCCAGATGGGCACATGATCAGGGATCAGGCAGATTCCCTCATGGGTGAAATACCTATTTCAGTGCTGCTCAGTCTCTGCCACATGGCTGGAATGAGAAAGCTATAGAACTGAAGGTACTGGGGAAGAGCCAGCCTCCAGTACCCTCAAAGAGAGAATAGGGGCGACTACTGGGGATTGATCCCAGGGCCTCTTGCATGCTAGGCAAGTGCTCTACCACTTAAGCTGCATTTTCAGTCATTGTTTTTCACTTTTGTAATGCAGAGTATAGAACCTAGGGCCTCCTACATGCTAGGCAAGTGCTCCATCACAAAGTCACATCCCAGCCCAAAGGTTGTCTTAACCACACTAGGGATCCAGTAAGACTTACTCAGATATTAGTTGATAGATCTCTTTATCCAGCATGTCCTTCTTGTCCTTCAGTTTCTGAATATCAAGATTCAGGAACTCCTCATTGGTCCCATAGGCCTGGCCAGATTTGGGAGATGGCCGCTGAGTGGCAGAAAAAGTCATTAGCTGAAGTGACCAGCAAGCCACAATTTAGAGCCTAGATCACGTCCTCTAATAGCCACTTCCCATTCTGCTTGGTAACAGCCCCCCCCATTACCCAACGCCAGAATACCAGTATACTTCTCAGCTTCCCTATGACTAAGTTATGACAAGTGAAACTTCACTAAAAGTAGCATGTGATACTCTAGGAAGTGTCCTTCCATGGAGTGTCCAGGCCCCTTTCTGGCCTCTCAGTCTAGCTGTGGATATAATGCTGGAGCTGAACAGCAGTCTTGGATGATGAGGCTTGGATGATGAACCCTTTAGGAGGCTAGAATACAAACTAGAGGCCAGAATCCTTGATGGCTGTTTAAACCACCATTAGTGGCATTGTCTTTTCCACTTCTAGGCAAACCCAGTCCTAACTAGCAGGTTTACCCAGGCCTCCAACTTGACCCTAGGTAATTTACGTTGGGTCTCCTAAGGTTCTCCTGGAGTCTGCAATATTACTGGGGTTATAATCTCACTGTATATTAAAACTCTTCACTGAGGCTATACTTTACCTTTGCCCTTTCTGCCTCCAAAAACCACTAAGGCCAGGGTCTAGCATATAGCTAATCTTCCAGAAGGATGAACTGTCTATACATGATACAAGAAAGGGGAAAACACAGTTCCTGTTCTTAGGCTAGCAGTAGTGAGTTAGCAGTGTGCGAGCACTGGCAAAAAGTCCAGATCAACACTTCCAGTTGGACTCCTGTATTCAGAAATACTTAGCCAAGGCTCAGAGAGAAAAATATTCAGAAATTATGTTATGTCCTTCCTACATTTAAGCATCAACTTACAAGTTACCTCATCAGAAAGGTTCCTCTCTGCAGTCCTGTCTCCCCAAAGTGGTGCCTCAATCACCACAACCTGTCCCTTTGTTGTTGCTCCATTTTTCTTGTGTGCCAGTTCTGGGGCTTGAACTCAGGGCCTCATGGTCTTGTTTGGCTTTTTTTTCACTCAAGGCTGGCATTCACTTGAGCCACAGCTCCACTTTTGCCTTTTTTTTTTTTTTTTTCTGTTGGTTGTGGGGCCTGAACTCTGGGCCTGGGCGCTGTCCCTCAGCTCTTCAGCTCAAGGCTAGCGCTCTACCACTTGAGCCACAGCGCCACTTCCGGCTTTTTATTTTTTGCTTAAGTGGTGCTGAGGAATCGAACCCAGGGCCTCGAGCATGCAAGGCAAGCGCTCTACCACTGAGCCACCTTCCCAGCCCATTTCTGACTTTTTCTTTTTATGTAGTACTGAGGAATTGAACCCAGGGCTTCATGTGTGCTAGGCAAACACTCTTTGTCCACTGATGATAGCACAGGGTCTACAACAGCACTTGGTCTATAGTAGACAATAAGTATTTGTCAAATGAAGATGTAATAATAAATACCTAATTGATTAATTTTAAGTCAAATGCTTTGAAGTGCAATATCTAACTCTGAAGGAAGCTCATCTAACAGGCCAATGGATCTGAGCCAGAAGCTGGGCTAAGGCTTCCAGAGGAAGCAGAGCTTTAAGGGATGATTAGACATTAACTTGACAAAAAGCTAAAAGAGTATTGCAGACAAAGGACTTGGTATATTCAAATACTCAATGCAGGAAAGCAGACATAAGAATGGGCAAGTGGAGAACCAATGGTGAAGACAAGACCAAAAGAAGCCAACCTGAAGCAGGGCGCTGGTGGTTTATGCCTGTAATCCTAGCTACTCAGGAGGCTGAGATCTGAGGATCATGGTTTGAAGCCAACCCGGGTAAGAAAACAGTCCATGAAACTCTTATCTCCAAATCAACCACCAGTAAACCATAAGTGGCTCTGTGGCACACTTCCTTTGAGCTGAAGAGCGGAGGGAGGGACAGCGCCCAGGCCCAGAGTTCAAGCTCCATGACCAACCAAAAAAAAAAAAAAAAAGCCAACCAGAGGTGCTGTTAGAAAGGATGGCAAGGCAGGGTTCACAGGAGGGACCACAGGCAAATGTGAGGACAGTGGGATGAGGAGTTGTTTGGTGGTTCTAGTAGGGTGCAAGTGTAGTTTCAAACTCAGTAAATAGGAAGGCAAAGATAATCTGCAGGCAGCTGTGTCTAGGAAAAAGTCAGGGCTGCTAAGAGACCAGACACCAGACACAGGGGTGAGCACACGGCTGGCTGACAGTACTACAAAAACAGAAAAGCCGGAAGTGGTGCTGTGGCTCAAGTGGTAGAATGCTAGCCTTAAGTAACAGCAGCTCAGGGACAGTGCCCAGGCTCTGAGTTCAAGCCCCAGGACTGGCAAAAAGAGTCTCATGGGGACTTTTCTGCCCAGGCTGTTCCAGCCGTGATTCTCAGATCTCAGCATCCTGAGTGGCTAGGATGTAGCCACCGGCTTCCAGGGAAACTCTTATTTAGGGATGGCAAGTGGGAGGAAAGGAGACAACTATCTGTTGGTAGCTAAAGGAGTGGGCAGCCGGGGGAGGGGCCACGCAGGATTACAGGCGGGGTTGGGTTAGGGGAGAAACCAGCGAGCAAGAGGATTTGACCCTTTGAAAAATGGAAGGCGGGAAGTTCCTCCGAGCAGGTTTACTGAGGAACGGTCTTGGGGAGAGCTGATGGGGAGTGCGAGGCGGGTGGGTCGTGGAGGAGGTGCGGGGATGCCCAGACATACTCACCGGGGACCGGAAGGGCCCTCGGCAGCTCCGGTTCGGCCCCGGCTCCGTCCTGGAGAGGAATGCAAAGAGAAAGGCTGACTGTTGAGAGCCGGGGGACGGGTGTCCTGGCGGCGCGAAGGGAGCAGGCAGCTGAGCAGGCGGGGACTAGGGCTGGGTCCGGCCGGGCGGGCGTCCGGCACGCGGCTGCGCTCCGGGCCCAGGAGGACGGGGGTGCGCTGCGCAAAGCGGGGTCTGTCTAGAGGACTGGGAGATGAGTTCTCAAAAGTGCGAGTACCGGACACAGTGAGAGGAAACAGGGAAGGGGCTGTAAAAACGGTTGCCCGTCCCTCGCCCACCTTCTGAGCCCTGGGGTCCGAGGCCCCCGGGTCGGGGGGGTCTGCAGCGAAGGGGGGTCCAGGGCAGCGGCGCGAGCGCGGCTTCTCAGGTTCGCCCGGTGACCAGAATTCTGTGAGGAACGCAGCAAACGGTCACCAGTACGGCTGCGCGCGCACCCAAAAGGAATTTACCCGCCCCTAAGAATGGGCGGGGTAGGATCCCGGAGGTGCGCGCGCAGCTCCAAGACTCCGCCCCTCGCTTGTAGCTCGAGGGTGGGAGGGGGGGAAGGCGGAGGGCAGACTACGCCTCCTTCCGTTTCATCTTTTCCATGGACCAATGATGAGGGATATTTTAGACCACGCCCACCCGAAGAGCCTAGTACCGCCCTGGACCCGCCTCTTCTGGCTCACAGCACAGCGAGTAGCAGTCGGAGGTGCTTCGCGGTGGTTGCCGGGAGCGCGGTGGTTGCCGGGATTGTGGTGATGTGGCCCCCCCACCTCCCCTGTCCCAGCCCCGGGATGTCGGAAGAAACCAGACGTAGCAAATTGGCTGCGGCCAAGAAAAAGGTAAAACGCTCCGGGTCGCGTCCCCTTGACTTAGCCCGGACTTCTCCGACGGCCGGACCATGTCAGAGTCTGAGCCACTCTGGAGACACACGGGGGTGAACCCCTTGGCGCCCCTTGGCTCCCCCCACCAAAGTCTTCTCAGCCGGCCCCGCCCCCTCAGCAGCCCAGCCCCCGCCCTCGCCCGCCGCCCCTGGGTGACTTTGGCTGCTGACTCCCCGCGCCAGGCTCGACCCTCGCCTCCCGCTGCCCCAAGCTGGACCCTCCGGGCTTGCTGGACTCCCGATTCCCGAGGACCTGGGTCCTGGCCCTCGCTCCCCCTCCCCCACCGCCGCTGCCAGCGCCGCGGCGGAGCGGCGACTCGGGCGTCGGTGGGGAGGCTTGGAATGCAGTTACACCACTGTCCCCCTCTGAACTGTCATTACCACCTTGGGTTGGCCCTTTGATCTTGCGACTCAGTTCCCTGAAGTGTCTTCACCGCCTTTTCGGTTTCTTTGGTCGCGGTACAAATTGCTACTTGGGTAGAGGGGGAGGAGGAACTACTTGGTTGTGGGACCCCGGTACAGAGTGGTTTTAGGTTCCCTTCCTCCCTGTGCTCCGACTTGGACAACCTGAAAAGCTGTGGTCGCTGAGCTCAGAATGTTGACAATATCTCTGGGAGAGCAGGTTTGGGTTGCTTTGGTTTTCTCCCACATTTCAACCAAAAAGTCTCTACAATTTTTATTTTTCTGAGTTCACTACCGAGTTCTTTCTAATTCTGGGACCAGAGAGTCCTTTAGCCTCGCGCTCTGGAATGAAATCTGCGTGTTTAATGTGGAAGAGTTCCTGGGAATACTGAACTTTACAGCTGGGCTTCCCCCCCCCTCCCCCAATCATTGTCTCCACCTGGGGTGCTGAGTGCCACAGGATAAATATGAGGCATTAAGTGTTGCTTGATTCCCTTGAATCACTGAGCACATTAATAAACTGAGGGTTGACATTTTCATAGATTAGGAAAGTTAGAAAAGACCCCTCTTACTGAAATGATGTTTGGGACTTTGTTAGCTTTGAGAACCTACAACACCAACTCCCTTCCTGCTTCTGACCTTCGGATGTGTTGAAGGGAAAGTGGGAAACTACCCATTTGTAGTTTTTTGTTTTTGTTGGTTGTAGGGCTTAAACTCTGGGCCTGGGCGCTGTCCCTGAGCTCTTCAGCTCAAGGCTAGCGCTCTAACCACTTGAGCCACAACGCCACTTCCGGTTTTGAGTGGGTTATTTAGAGATAAGAGTCTTACGGACTTTTCTGCTTGGGCTGGTTTTGAACTGCAATCCCGAGATCTCAGCCTCCTGAGTAGCTACGATTACAGGCATGAGCCACCGGTGCCCAGCTCCACGAGTAGTTTTAACATGTGTTTTAAAAAAAGTCCTGATGTCTGGTTTCTTTTTTGTTTTTATGAGTTAAAGGCCCAGGGGTTGGCCTTGAACTTGCAATTTTTCTGCTTCAGCTTCCCAAGGGCTGGGATTACAAGCCTGTGCCACCACACCCAGCTCCCTGAACCCAGTTTCTAAAACACAGACATTTCATACCTACACTTATTTATTTATTTATTTTTTTGGTTGGTTGTGGGTCTTGAACTCTGGGCCTTTGCGCTGTCCCAAAACTCTTCAGATCAAGGCTAGGACTCTACCAATTGAGCCAGAGCACCACTTCTCCTTTTCTGAGTAGATAATTGGAGATAAGAGTTTCACAGAGCCAAGCGCTGGTAGCTCTCGCCTGTAATCGTAGCTGCTCAGGAGGCTGAGATCTGAGGATCAAAGTTCAAAGCCAGCCCAGGCAGGAAAGTCTGTGAGACTCTTATCTCCAATAAAACCACTCGAAAACCGGGAGTGGTGCTGTGGCTCAAGCGGTAGAGCATTCCCCTTGAGCTGAAGAGCACAGGGACAGCGCCTAAGCCCCAGAGTTCAAGCCCCACGTCCGACAAAAAAAAAAAAAAAAAAGTTTCATGAACTTTCCTGCCCAGGCTGGCTTTGAACCATGATCCTCAGCTCTCAGCCTCCTGAGTAGCTAGGATTACAGATGTGAGCCACTGGCTCCCGGCTCATACCTACACTTATTAGTGTTTACTTTTTACCCTCTACTTCTAGTGTTGCCACCCTGGGAGCTGCTGATTCATGGCACAGCCCAGAGCTTAGAGTCAGAAGACTGAATTTAAATTCCATTATTGCCTCTTTTTGAGGTGTGGGTGTGAAATTGAATCCTAGGCTTCTGTGCTCTGGCACCGAGCTACATCCCTATCCCAATTATTGTTATTATTAGTACCAGTCCTGGGTCTTGAACTGAGGCCCTGGGTGCTCTCCCTAAAGTTATTTTTTTTGGGTCCGGTTGTGGAGCCTGAACTCTGGGCCTGGGCACTGTCCCTCAGCTCTTCAGCTCAAGGCTAGCGCTCTACCACTTGAACCACAGTGCCACTTCCAGCTTTTTTCGTTTTGCTTATGTGGTGCTGAGGAATCGAACCCAGGGCCTCAGGCATGCAAGGCAAGCGCTCTACCACTGAGCCACCCTCCCAGCCCTCCCTTAAGTTCTTTTGTTCAAGGCTAGCATTCTACCACTGGAGCCAAAGTTCTACTTCCTGCTGTTTTGATAGTTTATTGGAGATAAGAGTCTCATGGACTTTACTGCCCAGATTGGCTTCAATCCCTGGTCCTCAGATCTTAGCCTCCTGAGCATCTAGAATTACAAGTGTGATCCACTGGTGCCTAGCTATTGCTGTTTTTTAAAGTTACACTAATTATTCTGTTTCTTAGGTCATTAAGGGATCATTATTCCACCTTATAGAATTGCGGGTGGAATTACAAGACGTGGCATATTTAAGAGTATTTTATAAAAGAGATATAAATAAGGGGGCTTATTGTTTTCATTAGTATCTCATTGCTTTTCCTTCCTACAGCTGAGAGAATATCAGCAAAGAAACAGCCCTGGTGTACCTGCAGGAGCAAAGAAGAAGAAAAAAATAAAAAATGGCAGTAACCCTGAGACCACCACTACTGATGATTGTAACTCACCCGAGGATGTGAGTCTTGGCTGCTAGGCTGTCAAAGGGCTCTAAGGGCAGCAGCGGGTAATGGTTAAGATGGAAGAAATGTCAGGCACTGGTTGAGAATTCTGGTTTTCAGTGGTTGAGTACTTGCCTAGCATGTGAGAGTACCTGGGTTCCGTCCTAGCACAGGAGAAAAATAAAGATAAAATAAATCCTAAGTTTGAATTCTGCTTCTCCTTTTGCTAGGAATAGGGAAAATTGCTTAAATTCTTTGAATTTCTCTTTCCATATCTAAAGAAGAAATTCTTTGAATTTCTCTTTTCATATCATAAAGTTTACATGAGATTTGTTTTTATGTTATTCCATAGCACTGGGTTTCCTACTAAGAGTAAATATCCAATAGTTGGTAATTGCTCTGAAGCAAGACCAGTGAGAACAGCCTGTCCTTCAGGAAACAGTCTTTACCATTTAAAAGAAAAGGAGCCAGGCACTGGTAGCTCATGCCTGTAATCCTAACTACTCAGGAAGTTGAAATTTGAGGATGGTGGTTAGATGCCAGTCTGGGTAGGAAAGGCCAAGAGACTTTTCTTTGTTGTTGTTGGTCATGGGGCTTGAACTCTGAGTCTGGGCGCTGTCCCTGAGCTCTTCAGCTCAAGGCTAGCACTCTATCACTGAGCCAAGCGCCACTTCTGGTTTTCTAAGTGGTTTATTGGAGATAAGAGTTTCAAGGACTTTCCTGCTCGAGCTGGCTTTGAACCATGGCCTCAGATCTCCGCCTCCTGAGTAGGATTACAGACGTGAGCCACTGGTGCCCAGCCCTAAGAGACTCTTCTCTCTCATATAAACTACTTAGAAAAAGCCAGAAGTAGCACTGTGGCTTAAGTGGTAGAATGCTAGTCTTGAGCAAAAGAAACTCAGGGATAAGCACCCAGGCCCTGAGTTCAAACTCTAGGACTGACAAAAAATAAAGAGGATTTAGATAGCCCCTCCTTAAAAAGAAGGTATTGTGGGTGGGGAGCGTATCTGCTTTTTCAACTTCTTTTCTAGTTTTCATTTCTGGATCTGGTCCTTTTGAAGTTTGTTAAAATAATTTTTTTTCCTTTTTCTTTTTTTTTTTTCCGTCAGTCGTGGGGCCTGAACTCTGGGCCTGGGCACTGTCCCTCAGCTCTTCAGCTTCAGGCTAGCACTCTACCACTGGAGCCACAGCACCACTTCTGGCTTTTTTTTTTGCTTATGTGGTGCTCAGAAATCGAACCCAGGGCCTCATGCATGCAAGGCAACCATTCTACCACTGAGCCACCTTTCCAGACCCTGCTAAAATAATTTTCATCTCCTCTATCTTTTTTTCTTTTTTTTCCAGTCCTGGGTCTTGAACTCGGCCTGAGCACTGTCCCTGAGCTTGTTTTTACTCAAGGCTAGCACTCTACCACTTGAGCCACAGCGCCACTTCTGGCTTTTTCTGTTTATGTGGTGCTGAGGAATCGAACTCAGGGTTTTGTGCATGCAAGGCAAGCGCTCTACCACTGAGCTACATTCCCAGCCCCCACCCATCCATCTTTGAGTGTGCGTGCTCTGGGCCTCAAGCTCTCACTGGGCTTTTT